GAGCCCAGGAGTTTGAGGTTGCTGTGAGCTAGGCTGATGCCATGGCACTCTAGCCCGGGCAACACAGTGAGACTCTGTCTCAAAAAAAAAAAAAACCATAGTAGAAGATGGTAGCAGCAGCATAAAATTTGCTTCTACTTATTGTGGATGGGGACGGGGAGCTGGGGTGTGCAGAGATCACATGGACAGAGAGGAGGCAAGAGAGAAGAGGAGGAAGGTGACAGGCTCTTTTTAACAGCCAGCTCTCTTAGGAACTAATAGAGCAAAAATTCACTCATTACCTAGGGAAAGCACCAAGCCATTGATGAGGGATCTGCCACTATGACCCAAATACCTCCCATTAAGCCCCACCTTCAAAACTGGGGATCAAATTTCAACATGAGATTTGGAGGGGATAGACAAATCAAACTATAGCATGACCTAACCTTCAGTGACCACCACCCTGATCAGTCGGCAGCCATCAACATCAAGGCAAGACCCTCCACCAGCAAAAAGATTGTGACTCACTGAAGACTCAGATGATCATTAGCATTTTTGAGCTATAAGGTACCTTTTAATTGAGGTATATACATTGTTTTTTAATATATTTACTTAAATATATCCAAATATATTAAATATGTTATATATTTAAATATAATGCTATTGCACACTTAACAGACTATGGTATAGTGTAAAAATAACTTTCGTATCCACTGAGAAACAAAAAAATTTGTGTGACTCGCTTTATTGTGATATCCGCTTTATCGTGGTGGTCTGGATCCAAACCTGCAATATCTCCAAAGTATGACTGTATCACTATTAATAGTGTCCCTAGTGCAAATGTTCAGGGGTAATCTCAGAGTCCACATAACGATTTCTTTACATAAAGGGTGTAGAGGAGGTAATCTGTTTGGAGGGCCTCTCTGGAAAGTTATCCTGAAGCTGCATTCATCTAGCAAGCACTCTGATTTTACTTAGATGGTATACAAAAGAACAATTTTTAAAATATTAATAGCATGATTTGGGAAAATGTCAGTAATTCACACCAAAAATTCTTTTTCCTAGTGGCCTGGGGAAAACTTGGACAGATGGAGATGGTTGAGGAGTGGAGAAAAGCTAAATCTCCTCCCAAACAAGGATAGGGAAAGACCAAGGAGTCCTCGGGTCATGGAACCAGAAACGTGGAGACCCTTTGCCGCAGGAAAGCCTGTAAGGACAGTCCCATAAATCTGAACAGCTCCTGTTTCATGTTTCCTATTATGAGACCTCAGTTTCTCCCTTTCTGTCCACTTCCCGCCCACGTCCTTCAGCACAGAGGAGAGCAGATCAGGAATGTCCGCACCTCACTCGCAGGGACCCCTGGGGACTGAGCACTGGGAAGGTGCCCCCCTGGACCCACTTCCCCCTGTTGGGTGGGACAAGAGACCCAGAGTCTCTCTGGGCTGGGCTGCCCCTTGGAAAATGGGAGAATACTTCCCACACTCGTTGACACCGATGGCCTGAGGGAAAATGGCCGGCAGGGACACTGAGGTCCAGTGAGGTCATTATACACTTTGAGGAGCACAGTATATTTGCTTTAAACATCAAGGGCACTTACGTTTATTTCTGTTATTATAAGAACTACAGAGACACACTAAAAACAAGACAAAATATGAAGACCTAAAAATTATTTTAACAAAACAAACCACTTATTCTGTTCCTTTTATTTCTCTCTCCTGTTTTCCTCTTACACTCCTCCCCTTTTTCCCAGACCAAGACCCAGAGGAAACAAAGAACACTTCATGTGCCCCCAGCAAGTAGGTGCAGGGCCCAGGCAGGGAGGGCTGCAGAGCACCCAGGCTCTGGGTCCTTGCCCAGCTGAGCGCCCAGCAGGGCCCAGCCAGGCAGGGGCAGGCAGTAGGCACTGGCAGCTCGTGGGGACACAGCCCTGGCCTGGCCCTGGAGGAGCACATGATCCCTGCCCTTGGGGTGCTGTGGGGGGACAGGGATGCAGGCAACCTAGAGACACAGACAAGTGACCAGAGCCAGCTCTGAGCGTTTAACGGAGAGAATGCTGGTAGGATAGAGGTCCAGGAAGGCTCCCCAAAGAGGGGAGGACAGAGCAAATTGGCAGGTGACCACTCATTCATTTACTTATCCACTTCCTTAACAAGGGCCTGTAGCATCTATTAAATTCAGACACTGCTGTGGAACTGACGACACAGTTGAATAAAGCGCAGCTCCTGCCCTGGAGAAACTCACAACGGTAGAGAGGACAGACACATCTGTAAACAATCATGGCCCTTAAATAAGGGCTGCATCCAAACACGTGCAAGTCCATGTGTGGGCAGAGAGGAGGGGTGGGCACAGTGACCTGAGCATGGGTGAGTGGGGGGGCTGCCAGGCAGACAGCAGGGGAGGCCACCAGGCAGAGGGTAGGTGCAGGGGGAGAGAGAAGTATGACAGGACAGGCTGTCTTCTCACCTGGCTGAGGAGGTGGGTGCTGGGGGAGGAAGGTGAGGGGAGAAGACAGCTGGGCTCAGACTCAGAGGGCTGTGTTTGCCCAGTCACAGGCTTGGAGGCCCCTGGAGGATGCTAGCAGGAGAGGACATGGCCATCCTAACCTGAGGGAGGGGGACAGGCTGGGTTGGTGGGGGTGGGCAGGGCCACAGGTGTGGAGCCAGGGTGGGTGGTGAGGACAGGAGACCCAGCAGCAGAGGGAGAGCAGTCTGGGAAGGAGCCAGGGCCTCCCTCAGTGTTTGAAATGAGGCCAGGTGCTGATGATGTTGTACAAAGCCTGCCCAGGGGACAGGGTGTTGGTCACATCACTGTGGCCCACCAGCAGGTAGTTGGGAGTCAGGTACCCCTCGACCACGGCACACTGGATCAGGTCCTGGGCTGCCTCCAGCGCTGCGGCATTGGGTGGGGTACCTGCAAAACACAGCCGGCCCATTACCCAGTGTTCCAGGGCACCCTGCCTAGGACAGGACCCACTCCCAGACCCCACCCCACCCCGCCCCGACCACAAAGCAAGTACGTTCCACCCTATAGACAGACAGAAAACCAGGCCAAGACTTCAGATTCCTCAGTGCCAACATCTTTCTGAATCAAAAGGGCCGAGCGTGGGATAATACATACAATTCTTCTGCGAGTGTATGAAGCCTTTATCCACTGGTAGGCAATTTAGTCCCCTGGAGGACATTTGACAATGTCTGGAGACATTTTGGGCTGTCAAAACTGGGGGGTAGGGGGATGCTGTTGTCCTGTAGTTGGTAAAAGCCAAGGATACTGCCAAACATCCTAGGACAGGATGGCCCCCCCAACAAAGAATTATCTCGGCCAAAATGTCAATCCTACCGAGGCTGAGAAGCCTCGCTCTAGCCACAGATGTGCCGCCTGTACCCTTCGCACACCAGCCCGATGCTCAGCCCCATCTGCAGGCACTGTCCTGGGCTCACCGCCCACCCCTGCCCGATGCCCATTGCAGTATCAGCCTGAGCCAGCCCCAGTGGCCTGGGCTCCTCCTTCCAGAGGCTCTGCCAAAGGCCCCCAAGTCTAAACAAACTCTGGTCAAGAGCTCTGGGCCATGACAACCCGCAGTGTGTACTCGCAAAGCAGAGACCAGGGCTCAGTGAGGCTTTGGCATATAAGGCAGGGTGTCCCCACATTCCTGCTGTAACCAGGAAGGGATGTATCTGCCGACTAAGATGAACTAAAAATATGTACAAAGATCTCTTCCCCTTGCTTCACATGTTCCTTAGGTATTGGAAGAGAGAGACATTTGGCTGGGTGTGAAGGAGAGATGTAGGGTGAGCATTCTGTCTGGGGGTCACCTCTGGGCACACTCAGCTGAGCCAAATGTCAGATCCGAAGCTGGGCCAGTCCAGCACATGCCGTCACTAAGATGGTGCCTGAGACTGGGACTCTGTCTTCCACGTCAGACACCGCCTTCAAATACCACGCAATGACGCGACCGCCCGCAGCATCCACTTACCTGTGAAGGTTCCCATGAAGGCAATGGCCAGGGCAATGTCATCGTAGCCAGGGGTGCAGGAGCCCTGGACATTCCAGCCCACCCCTTCGTAAATGACGCCATTCTGGCCCACAAGGAAGCTAGAGGGAGACAGAGACCAGCATGAAAGGGAGGCACCCTGGGACTGGCTCTCTCTGTCATTCATTAATTCATCCTCATCCTTACTCGTCAGACTTGGTTGTCTGTAAGTTCTAAGCATCGAGTGACAGAGACACATAAGGCAGAGTCCTCGCAGTGGGGTGCTGGCAAGCCGGCCTGGGGGAAACGGAGGAGACAGGTGGGGAGGGGGATCCCTGTTTACAGCGTTTGCTGATTTCTGTACTGTAAAACTCCCACGGCTGATTTCAGGCTACCAACAATTTAACAGCTGGCTCTCAGAATTCCTGAATCCCTAACAACCGGTTCTCATGAGCCGTCACGTGTCCATCCGGCTCCAGCACATCAGTGCTGCCACAAGTAGCTGGCAGTCAGTGAAGAACCAAGAGAACGACAGACTTCGATGCTGGGCCTTTCCCCCACCCCACTAAGGGAACTGTGTCCGCCAAGGTGACCCAGGACCTCCCACTGCTAAGTGCAGGGCACACTTCTCCCACCCCACCCGACTGCTGTCTGCGCATCTGACCCTGCCACCCCTCTCGCCTCCTGCAAACGTTCTCTCCTCCTCATCCCGCCACACCACACTCTCACGCTTCCTTCCTCTCTGGCTGCACCCCTCTGCACGTCATCTTCCTGTGCCCGTTCCTCAAATATAGGGTTCCTCAGGCTGCCACCTGAACCCCTCTTCTCTTCTCCCTCAACCCATCCTCTCAGAACCAACCTGTCCACTTCCTTGGCTTCAGTTACCATCCATGGAAGTCCACATGTTCACAACAGGACCCGCCTTCTTCCCCACCTGTTCCCCTTTCTGGTGGAGCATCTTGGTGAACACCACAGCCTCCCACTAGTCCCAGCTGGGAATGCGGGCATCAGCCCACCCACTTCACCACCCATTAGCCGCACTGGGCAATGGCATCCCCCTCCACTCTCCTCTGCCTACCCCCACACCATAGCCATGAACCACTGACCTCCTCCGCCCGCTCAGCTCCTCCACTCCCTCACCGCCCTAGCCACCTCACCACCCATCCTGCCTGGATCGCTGTGCTGGCCTCAGATCTCACTGCCTCCAGTTTCACCCTTTTCCAATCCATTCCTGAAGCAACAGCCAGACTGGTCTTCCTAAAATCCAAATCTTATTATGTCAAAACCCTGTTTTCAGTCCTCAGCACCAAGTCCAAATTTCCCAGCTTGAGTTACAAGATCCTTTATGACATGGCCTCTGCTGGCCTCCCAGCCTCACCACTCACCACTCCTCTGGCGTCTGTATTTATCCTGCTAAACCTCTCTCAAGTCCTCTAAGAAGGAACCGAGGCCTTTCCGCAGAGGCCCCTTCCTGCTGCCTCTGACTCGCTCCCACTACCCGTGAGGTCCAGCCCACCTGGTGCTCCTCCAGGGAGTGCCCCCTTCAAGCCATCCCCCAGCGATCTAAGCCTCCTGTCTACCCTCCCTGTGCCCCCTTCACAAGGCTTAAGCTACCCTACTAGGATCTCTTGTTTAATTATTTTTCTCTCTCACTAAAGCATTAGCTCCGTGTAGGCAAGAACCACAGCTTTGCTACAGCTGCTGGCATCCCCGGAACATGGCCTTGTGCCCACACAGAGTGCATGCTCTGTCATGTTGCCAGTGAATTATAATTTACCAGCAAGTGAGCGTTCGATCCTGACTACAGACCATCTCAAGGTAAGACAACGGCACAGCCATGAAGTTATGATAGAAGGGGACACAATAAAAGGTTAAAAGTCAAGGGACAAGCACCTGTCCCCTGAAACCTGAGTGGGAAAAGGGAAAGGACCTCCCTTCAACCTCTATCATTTTCCAGTTTAGGATTTCCAGATTTATAGTCAATTTTCAGGTATCCACTCTAATTAAAGACAGCAGCACCGCAAATAATCCTGTATGGCAGAACCTAGCAAAGCTCTTGGTAGGTCCTGACAGATGACAGATGTGGAAGGAAAAGTTTTCTCCTGTCACAAAAGGGTTGCTACTAAAAGGGGCACAGGGAGAAGAGAGACAGTCAGCCCCGTAGCACATACTAAGACATGGCAAATTCACCTAGGGCGGGGCCACTGCATACGGCCATGCAGGTTACCTCCTGCACAAAGGTGCCTGGCTTGGGGACAGTAGGGACTGAAATCCAGCTCCACCCACTAAGCCATGAATGCCCCTAGCGTGAGGCGATCCTCCCATGAACATGTACAAATATGCCATGTGGGCTAGTGATGGCCTGTCCTGACACTTAAAATTTAGTGCGATTGTTTCTAATGGAATATTCGACGGGGTCTGACCCCAGATGTCTTATCTGCGAGCTCTGACATCATCCTTCAAAATATTTCTACTTGTTTTGTGGACCATTTGTTTTTGTGTGTGTATGGCAGTTTTGTTACTTTTTAAAACGGGTCCTTTTTAACAGAAAAGACTTGACCAAAAATCTGTCACAGAATTTTGAGATCCATTAAAATAATGCTTAATGGGGGGGGGGAAAGAGAAATTTCTACTCTCCCGTTAGGTTGGTGTGTTCTTTATTAAAGAATCACAGACCTTGGCATTAGAGAAATCAACAGGTGTTATCTGGTCTCTCCCACTGCTTTCAGACAGGAAAGATGCTGTCTCCAAAGAAGGTGACAGTTTCTAGAGTCAGAGGAGCAGCCGGAGTCTTCAGTGAAAGGGAACAACTTCAGGCTGTGGCCACACGAGGGGCAGAGCCCCAGCCACTGAGCAGCGGGAGACGATTCCATGAGAAAGGCACAACCTTCTGATTCTTTCCTACGGGTTTCACAGTCGTGCACACATGCTGCTTCCTCTCATATCTGTTTAGCAAAATCTTGGCATCCATCATGTCAACATACTACCTTTAAAAGACACATGTTTTGAGAACATGCTCAGGAGAAATGACCAACCCCTTAGCCATCTCGTAAGTAAGACCTGCTCAGGGTTGTGTAAAGAATCAATGTGATTATTCATAACACACCTCTTGCATGGGGAGCACTCAGTAAATATTAGTTCCCTTTCCCCTTCGTGCCAAGGGTTCAGTTTCTGCCTCCACAGGAAGAGAAGCCCACCATGCTCAAGTCCACTTACTTATATCCAATGTCGCATAACTTGAGTCTGTCCACCTGGAAGGACTGGATGTCCCGGGCCAGCAGGCGGCACTCGTCCGACACGTTGCAGGTTCTCCCAGCAGTGTGGATGATGATGACGTACTTAGCTGGGAGGTTCATCTTGGGGCAGTGGGTCTCCCTGGCCCCCCAAGCAGACCGCGGGACAATACTGGGGCAAGCTGCAGTGGGGCAAAAAGCCACGGAGGATTCATTTTGCTCACCCATGTCGGCCACCTCTCTACTGAAACCAACTTGTGCCTCAGGATCCTCAGGGCCCCCCACCTCTGGGCGCCCACCCTGGCCCTGACTGCAGGACTTCGGAGCGGCTTTGTCCTAACAATGGGACGTGGGTGTGGTATTATGAAAGCCTGTCTTCGAGAGTCATTTGTAATCCATAAAACTCTTGTCAATTAATATGGACAGATGGCACCAGTCCAAAGGTGGAGATCCAATTTATACTGTTTTTGGTGTTGCTGCTTATTAAACCCAAAACAGGACCGACCTTTTATTACCTGAATTATGTGAAACTCTTCCTTTAAAGTCAGTGTAAGTGGTGATTTAAGTTTTCCTCAGCACTTCAGCCTATAAGTGTTGTTCTGGTTTTCGCATTCAGAAATGTGCGTTTGTGTATAATCATGTGAATGCATAAATACGTGTATGAATGGATACAATCCCTTTCCATGTTTTTTTTCCCTCCATAGCACTTTTCACCATATATTAAGTAACATACCAAATATGCTACTTGTTTATTATCCTTTTCTGCCCTTTAGATTGAAACTCCATGAGGTCAGGGATTTTTGTGTTCTGTTCCTTGGTATATCCTCAGGGTCTAGTAGGTGTTCAGTAAATACTTGTTGAGCTATTGAAGAAATGAGTGTGCATATATGACCCCAAGCATAATACCATGGATCTGTCAGTTTAGGAATCCAGGGATAAAGAGGTGGGCTGGAGGGTCGTCCCTCTCAAGGTTTGCCACCCCTGAAGGTTCAGAGAGTTGGGTGACCAGTTGCCTATCAGAAGAAATCCAATGATAGTCCCACTGGAAAGGTCACTCCTGATGGTGTTTGACAGTCAGTGGTTGGGGGGAGTCTGGAGGGAGGCCCAACCTGAAGGTCTTACCTTTCTTTGGGCTCGCCTTCTGCCGAGGGGCCAGGCAGTTCTCGCCTTTCACAAGGAGTGGCTGAATGTACCTGGATGACAGGTGGCCTTTCTGGACAGCATAGGAGATGAGGCCCTCCATGGATGACAGGGCAGCAGGGCTGGGGCTGTGGCCTGGAAGAGAGCAATCAGTGGGAAACTTCCATCTGGCCTGACTTTCAGGGGACCTGTCAGGGAGGATGAGATGCCGTGTCAGCCCCTGCATAGCTATTGGAAGGGAAGAAAGGGGAACAGGTCATCCCCCAGGTCAGACAGCCTGAAAGTCAAGGATCTGCCTGGACAGACCTCTCCATGGCTCAGGATGAAGTCCTTTCCCAAATGCCTGCCAAGATGTCATTCATTCACTCCCTTTCTCCATGAAAGAGTGCAGAGGCAGCACCACACTCAGGAGACCCGCCTGGCCAAGTCAGGGTTTCCCATCATTAGGACCCTTCTAGGCACATTCCAGGCTCTTTACCTTCATTAACTCATTTAATCCTCACCACAATCCTCTGAAGTAAATGCTATTATTGGCCCCATTATTCATGAAGAGGAGCTTGAGGCTCCAAGAAGTAACGTGCCCAAGATCCCAAGCTAACAATTGGCAATGAGTAGTCAAGGGGAAAAAAGACATAAGCCGAACCCAAAGAGTCCTCTGGCATGCTAGAAACCACCTGGAGTCGGAGATGGGCAACATGGGCTCCTGTGCTGCTTCCTCTCCTCTAGATGTGTCACTTGGGTCATTGACCTCTCTGAAGCTTAGACTCACTTTTGTATAATAGGGATCACAAAATCGACCTCGACTATTTCAAAAGGTATTGGGAAGGGAAAATGAGAAACTAGATATGCAAGATCTCTGTTAACAGGAAAGGGTGCACAAACTTAAAGGAACGGTCCTGGAGTGTGTGTGTTAAGATGAGGCCAGTGGAGGCTTGGAACAGTAGACCAGAAGGAAGTGCAAGGGGGTCAGAGATTAGAGTACTCAGAGTGGTTTTTTTAAAAATATGTAGAAAATCTAGGAATAAGAGATAGAAGGAGTAGGTGCCTGGCAGGAAGTTGGAAAGCACAGCCTATAGCTGCAGGAAGGTCAGAGATACAGAGGAAGATGTGATAGTCATTGACATAGAGGTGAGGGCTGAAGCCTGGATCTTTCAAGAGAAGAGCAGGAGAACACGCTTGCAGAGGGACAGCTGGTTAGTGCCTCACTTATGAGATGGCAAGAGCAAAAGGAGCCTACTGCAGAGATTGGAAAGGAGGTAGGAGGAGGCCCATGGCAATGCCGTGTCGTGGAAGTCAATGGAGAAGAGAATTCCGAGAGAGAGAGCAGGTCTTCAGAGAAGGGAGAGAAGGTGAGAAGACAGCGGAGTAGCAGCTACTTCCCCTGAAGTGATACCTGAGACAAGGACGTCTCAAGGACACCTTGAAACAAAGGAATAGAGAACTCTTTGGAGAAGGTCAGCAGGGATAACCATTACCTTTCTTGGTGCCAAAGAAGGCAAAGCCCAGGGAGATGTTGTTGTAGCCTTGGGTGTGCACACCTTGGACATTCCAGCCAACACCTTCATATGCCCTGCCATCATCCCCAACCAGGAAGCTATGGAACAAAGGAAACACGGGTTTGATGGCTGGCACTGTAGCACTGTTTTCTGAGAGAGGAAACCACATAACCAGCCTCAAAAGGGAGAAGGGCTCAAACCATGTCCACTAAAAGGAACTTGCATGGACTCTTTCCAGACAATGGAAAGACCAAGGCATTTAAACTAGTCCTTAGAATTCAGAAGAACCCACTCCCATACTCCCTACCTCCCTCCCTTGCTCAGACACCAGAGTTTTATATAAATCATCCTACACACTCAGAAGGAGATGAGGTCCTGGGACCTCCACAGTCACTAACACTGACCCAACTACACAACGGAAGGCTCTTCTTGGCCTCTGCACTTCCTTCAACATGGTCTTCCTCCCTCCTCCAAAGCTCGTGCTGCCTGTGTAATCCCCGCAGAGGCTGTTCATTTGATTTCTCCCTGCCAGGTAACGGTCCCATGAAGTAGTGCCTGAGACAGGATGTGAATGCAGGCGGTTTATTTGGGAAGGGATCCCAGAAGCCAGAGTGAGGGAGCAAGGAGGGTGAGACAGATGGGAGAAACCCAGCAGTGTGTGGAAGTGCGCCGGCTCACAGCAGCTCCCTGGGCCCACCCCACCCCCTGGTCTGCCAAGAAACTGTGAGCATGCACTGTAGAACTGTCCCTGAGAAGGGCTGGAGCTGATGAAGCTAACCCACCAACACCTGCCCCCAGCAGGCATTCCTTCCCCTTCATCTTCAGGGGCTGGGGAAGCCATGAAGCAGCAAAACAGAGAGATGCGCTGGCCCTTAAGGAGGGACACAATCAGCACACTCAGGAACTGTCCACAGCTGGCCAAAGTCAAGGGTGGGCCAAGGACATGTGGTGCAGCCAAATGTAGGGCCTACTAGAGTGACCATTAGGGCAATAGGTGGACAGACGGTGGGCTCACCAAGGCTGGAGCTTATGCACGTTGTGGGGAGGAGAGCACCATGGGTAAAGAGAACATTTTGAGCCACTTTGAGGAAATTAGGCAACCTCCCTTTCTTGGGTCCCCTCTCCTGTAGCATGGACGTGGTGATGCTTGCCTACCAACCTTACAGGGCTGTTGAGGAGCAGATGCCCTCGTGTAGGCGCAAGTTGTTTGTAGCCTGTGATGCACTGTGCACGTCAGGCTTGGACGGGGGTAGAGAGCATGGTTGTCACTCAACCTCCCTTGCTTCCTTTGAGGAAATCTCAGAGGCAAGGACCTTACAGAAAGTTCCAAAGGATTTGGAATTTTATGGATGCTTTAAGTATTTTATTCACTGTAAAACTTATACAACCCAGAAAATGAGGCAAAGAGACGAAAAGGGACAGGAGAAGCACCCCAGAGAGCAGCGTCAACCCCAAGCCTGGGGACCCGAGCCCAGCCCCTTACTTGTAGGCCACGTCGCACCCGCTGTTGTTGTGGATGTGATGGGCCCGCAGCTCACGCAGCCTCTGACTGCACACAGTCTGGTCATGACACTCCAGGCCAGGGATGTGGTGTATGACAAGGACATCCACTGGCATGGTCAGCTGAGCACTGCAGCCGACAGCCTCCGCCCCCCACTCGTTGCGAGACACCACGGTGGAGACATCTGTGGAGAGCCGTGGGGATGTCACTCAGCACTGCTGCCCCACGGTTGCTCACTAGCCACACAAGCAGAGCCAGTGTGCGTTGTGTCGCCCCGAGGTGGTAGAGGAGCCCTAGAAGGAAGCCTTCAGTAGGCAGGCGCACCCTCCCCGGCCCACCTCCATATCCCCATCTCAGCAACACTCACCCCAACACAGAGGCTGCACCAACCAGGGAAACTTGGTGCTTTGCTTCTCCATCCCAGACATCCCCCACCACGGACAGTCCCCATCTTCCAGATCCTCCCTGCTCTGGCCCAGGCCCCCACTTCAGGGGGCATCTCTGTCTTATCTGCTTATCCCTGGAGAAAGCCCTGAGCAGCCTCGCTCAGCTTCACCTCAGCACTCACGCCCTCCGTGTGTGCTCACTGACCATTTCCTCTGTGGCTACGTGTGTTCCCTCAGGGGCTACGTCTCCTCCCCAACCTGGGGATCCCCTGAACAGAGTTGTGTCTCCCCCTCAATCTCAGGACTCCTTGAGGCAGGGTTTGGGTCTCCATCCTCAGGACAGGGGGTCCTTGTCTGCAGAGGCTGCTTCTCCCCTTCCCAGGTTTCTATTTCCTCCCAGCACCACCGCTCCATACCAAGGACCTAGGACAATTCGTGCAGGTGGTTTCCTGGTGCTGCTGTTTGCATCTCAACCCCATTCACCCCATTCCAGTCACATGGGGCTCTGCAGACCTCAGAGACATTCGTGGTCACATGAAAAACCCCAGCCGGTCCCCAAGCCTTCTCACCATTGAGACCCAGTTTGCCTTTTTCAATGAGCTGGGAGATGTTGCCAAACAGGTACTGAAGCCCCTCTGATGTCTGCTTAGCTTGTGTTCTGTCCCAGGAGGAATCACCTGCAAAGGAATATTCCATTTTGCATCAGTCTTCAGAGAGCTCCAGTACCAGCCGTCACTGCAACACAGACTCTGGCCAGAAACGGTCCCTCCGCCTCCCAAATCCCCCACCCCCCTCCAAGGTAGCATCAGGTGACGTGGCTTCTCCAACGCCAACTCCAGGCAATCTCCCAGGATGACAGTTAAATAGGAAAGGGCAGGAAGTCGGAAATATTTTCCTTTTCTCATGAGCTGCATCTACACACACAATTGGCCAAAAAAATAACCTGGAAATGTATTCAGGCATTTCAAAACCACAAAGTCCTCTCCAGTGTGAATTCTCCTTAAGCAATGGGGGAAGAGTATGTGGAGGAGGGATTAGAATTGCCTGCATGGATCAGGCCAGCTCCCTCAGGACTGATTTTGGGGGCACTTGCTGTGTCTGTGTTTCTGTTCGAAGGGCGGTGGGAGATGAGTGTGTCCACTGACATTCTTTCCCCCAAGGAACTTTCTCTTATTGACAAGCACAAAGCCAAGTCAGAGGTTAGACTCTGATTGACATCAGAATGGTACAAATAATGTCACTGCTCCCATTTATTTGCCTTTACTGCCCAAGTGCTGTGTTCTTCATGTGTTCCATTCCGTTTGATCCTCACAATAAGGTTAGAGGTTGTAACCTTATCTCAATTTTCAGATGGGAAAATTAAGATTTAAAGAGCTGAATCACTTGTTTAAAATCATTACTAGAGGCAGGGCAAGGACTTCAGTCCAGGTCTATAGACTCCAAGTTCTGTGCTATAAACACAATCTGTTCTTTCTCCCCAAGAGAAAGTAAGCATTTAAAGTCTCCTGTTATCAGACTTTAGGATGACCCTTCTTAGTTGCTCTTTGGTCCAGGAAAAAAAAACTTACTCCAGACCCAGAGACCCAGACTGGAGAAAATAAGAAGCCATGGCAGCATCTTCAGGTGGTCCCACGACACCAACCAGGTGAGCGTAGATGGCAACCCTGGGAGAGACACGGCAGTTCTTAGCATGTCTGCGGTCACTCTGCAAGCACAGCACCCCCACCCCGACCACATGGTGTCCCGTCTGCCTCCCCCAACACCCTGTGGGCTTCCCGAGGGCCAGCACCTGGCTCAGGCTTCTCAGGGTCCTTAGCACACAACAGGTGCTCAGCATCCTCATTCTATTACACTGGCAACTCAATTTCATTGAGTGCCTACTGTGTGCAAGGCCCATGTACACACCTGCACGTGCAGTCTTACTTAATTCCCACGCTAATCCTCTAACGTGGGATTCTTAACCCCCATTTTTATAGATGAGGGAAGTAAGATCCAGGAGTGGTCCAATCGAGAAATCCAAGCTCACATGGAGGGGTCTAATGCAGAGAATTCCTTGCCAGTGGGGACAGACCAGGTGAGGGGGATACAGTAGTGGGGGAGGGGATCCCAGTTCTAGGGCAGAAGAAACCTGATCTTAACACTCTATCAGATGGACTCTAGTCCCTTTGATAGGAGAGGACTTCTGAAGAAGAAACACACTCACACTCCAACTCAGCAGTACCTGTGGGTCCCGTGTGGTCCCAGCCAGCAGGTCAGGGTGCAGCCAGCCTGCCCCTCATTGGTGGCAGCTCCTTCCCTTCCAGACTTGGCCTCCAGGCCCTGCCCTCCTTCTCCAGCTGCTGCCTCGTCCAGCCTTCCTCTCCCTCCCACTGCAGGGCACTCCCTCCCTGGAAACGGAGCACTGGGCCCTGGCTTCCCAGAGAGAAGAGGAGGACCTGGGGTCCCTAACAGAAGGTGGAGGACAGGAGAGCAGAGGTCTGAGGCTCTGTGCTGTCTCCGTCCACAGCACCAAGAGAAACGTAGGTGGGACCAGGCCCAGGCTGAGAGCACCTGGGGACCCGCCCTGTGAATAAGCCCAGTACCTCCTCCCTGGGAAAGGGCAGGATTGCCCAACACTCCCTGAGTTCCTTCCTCATCCTCAGCCCTCAATATGCCTGGCCAACCTGGGGGTGACTGTGGGCCCTGAAGGTTGTGTCCCTGACACCTGGGAACTTCCTGCCCAGGAAGGTCTGTTCCAGGAGTCTAAAGGCTATAGAATGAGGTCACTCAACACCCCACCCCCTTCCACCCCAACACCCTGGCCCCTTCCACTCCATCATCCTTCCCTCTTCCATCTCAATGCCCCACCCCCTTCCACCAGGGGCACCAGTAGGGGCAGGATGCAGGGGAACAAATTGAAGGGTACATCCCCAGGAGGCAGTTCACTATTCCTAATTCTGACCCTGCAGCCTACAAGTCTGTCCATCATCCTCCCTCCTGCCACACCCTACCCTTGACATTACCCCCACCACAGGAAGCCTCCCAGAAACGAGGAATCTGTAGCCCCTTGCCCACTCCTGGCTCAAGGCCATGTTCCTGTCATCACCCAGCCAAGTTCCATTCAATCTCAATGCTGGTTGTCTCAGGGAAAAACACTTGTGTGGTTGTAAGCTGAACCAGCTACTTTTTTCATGGAACGCCATGAGCAAATAACATGGAACAAATTAACAGCTAAACTATGGGCACTCATACTTCTGTACATGGCAGTCATTTTCTTGAAAATCAACAAAGTGAGCCTTTCACCCCAAGGAAAAACAATCATAAGAAACAGCAATAATAGAATTTGTTAACATAATAACATTGGAGCTTTCAAGCAAAAATTAGAATTTTGGAAAATTTGTGTCTGCCACCATGAGTTTGACAACTTCCCAATACTTAAAGACTTTACTGATGAGATTAGTGGTGATATTAACAAATGTAGAAGATGGCTGACTAGAGACATCAGTCACCAGATCGTCTCAGAAAGAAGGAAAAGTTTTAGATGGAACAAAACATAGCTCAGGTGTAATTCTGAGGGGAAAGCACCAGAACCTACCAGAGACTCCACAGGAAGAAGTTGCAGAGCAGAACAAGAAGGAATAAGATATAAGCAGAGATCAACCCCTGATAAACTTGGAGCCCCATGGAAATGGTAGATGTCTACCTGTGGACAGCTCTTCTTGGAAAAAACAGTGTAAAACCTCAGAGAAGCAACATGAGACACTCAGAGTGAAGGAGAAAGTGACGGACCATTCATTTGGCAAGGTCAAAGGGATCTGTGGAGGGCATCCATACATAGGAAAGAGCAGGAGGATAGAGCCCTGGGGCACCACATTCACCCCACAGGCACTGTGACCTGAGTTGTGAGGGGGCTCTCTCCACCACCACAGACCTCTAGACGGATCAGGTAGCTGCTCAGAGTCTGTGCAGCAACATGCCAGAGAACAGGTTCAGCAGGGATCTTGTGGCTGCCGATCCCAGGTTTCTGCAGCTGGCACCATCCTGAGCTCTCAGGTGCACGGCATCAGGTCTGCTTGGAACTTGGCTTTGCAGCAGTGGCCTTTGCATTGCCCCCACCAGGCTGGAGAGGGAGCAGGCAGAGCAGACACTCCCCCGTGCCATGCCCCGTGACTGGGAGCTGAGGTCCCCTCCCCTACCACCCAGTGCAGGATCTGAGCAGAGTAGGCACCTCAGGTGCCAGAGGCACCACCTGGGAAGCCTTGGGTGACTTCTTCAGTGAGACCTAGGTTGGGGGAGAACCCCAGCCAGCCAGTGGCCCCAGCCTGCCTCCATGGTCCCTGGGCCACTGGAACTAACCCCTGCCTGCATGACTCAGCATCTGCAGTCCCCCAGTCTTCACAGCTCTGCCTCCCCAGTCCCCAGGTCTGGTTCTGCAGCCGGGGCTCCACCCCTGTGGCTCCAGAGCTCCCACTGGGCCCATGACACTGCCCCTGATATTCCAGCATTGTGTCTGAACTCCAAGGCACCACCCCTAAGTCTTCACCACTGCCACTGGGCCCACAGAAATGCCCAAGGTCCAATGCTCTACCAGGGATCCCAGCCTTGAGCCACCATTACACCTGGAACTGGTTCAAGCAAATGCCCACAGCCCAGAATCCACAACCACTGCCTAGGTAGCCTCACCCAGTCTGCCACTGCCACCTCCATGGGGACACCCTGGGCAGAGCAATCCTCCACAACACCAGCCTCCATGGAGAGGGTCTCACCCAGCCCCCAACTAGAACTTCCAACAACAATCTGGGGAACAACTCACCACCATAAATGAAGATCATCCAGCACCAGACTGAACTCTGGCAATCACAGGGGAACAGGACAAAACAGAACAGCTGCGCTACAGGTTCTCAGTGGGCCCACCCTCCCCTGCCAGGTCAACATTCCAGAGTAGACACAAATGTGCCATGTAGGGACCTCCCCTCCTTCTTACCAAGGAGGAGAGTTCCCAGCAAAGGAGAAAAGGTGCCCTGAAAACCTATTAGCCCTGATCCAAGAGGAGAGGATTCAGATGGGAAGAAACCAGCAAAAGAATCCTGGCAAAATGAAAAACAAAACAGTTTGACACCATCAAAGGATCACAATGGAGCTACAGTAGTGGACACCAATCAAAAGAAAATTGTCAAAATGATAGAAATGGAATTCAGAATATGGATGGCAAATAAGATGAATGGAATTGAAGAGAACTTTAAAAACCAACAAAAAGAAGCCAAAAAATATTTCAAGAAATCAATTTAAAAAATTAAGAAGACACTAAAGAGCTAGACAACATAAAAAAGGATATACTAGGACTTAAAGAAATGAAAGAGTCATTTATGGAATTTCAAAACAAAGCAGAAAGCTTCAACAACAGACTAAACCAGGGAGAAGAAAGAATCTCAGAGCTTGAAGACAA